AATAATAAATTTTTAAAAATTAAACAAAAAATTAAACACCTATTTTCTACCCCTACTTTAAGTTAATAGAAAAGGGAAGAGTAGGAAGAGATAAATCTGGGGACTCTAATTAATCTAAGAGAAGAATCAAAAGTAGAAGACTGGCACAGACTATCCTAAGAAATTTATTCCCTCACAATCCTTTTTACTTGAAGATTCAGAAGCTTACATTTCTTTTTTTTTTTTTTTTTTTTTTTAAAGATTTTATTTATTTATTTGACAGAGAGATCACAAGTAGGCAGAGAGGCAGGCAGAGAGAGAGGAGGAAGCAGGAGAAGCTTACATTTCTGAATTTCCTTCTCCTCTTTACTACTGACCTTCAAGTAAGCCATTTCACCACTTGGTCCTCTCAGGTAAAAATCTTATAAGTTCCATCTGTCCGAGATGGAGTGATATATGTTCATCAGAATATTATCAAGATATAGCTTATTTTAAGTTCCTCAAAAGAAGCAAGATGCGGGGCGCCTGGGTGGCTCAGTGGGTTAAAGCCTCTGCCTTCGGCTCAGGTCATGATCCTAGGGTCCTGGGATCGAGCCCCGCATCGGGCTCTCTGCTCAGCGGGGAGCCTGCTTCCTCCTCTCTCTCTGCCTGTCTCTCTACCTACTTGTGATCTCTATCTGTCAAATGAATAAAAAAAAAAAAAAAAAAAAAAAAAGAAGCAAGATGCTCTCAGACCTCCACAGAAACAAGCGTTTATCTTATTTTTCTTACTTTCTCTTCCCTTCCTCCCTCCTGCTCACATATAAACACCTTTTGGCTGTGGTAATAATGGTAATGGGGGAAGGGTTCAAAGTATTAGCAGTCATCAGATAAAATTCGTTAGATGGAAAATGTAAAGTTTTTGACTTTATGAGTTTAGAGTAGATCACAATAAGAATTTCTTTTTTTTTTTTTTTTTTTTTTTTTAAGATTTTATTTATTTATTTTGACAGAGATCACAAGTAGGCAGAGAGTCAGGCAGAGAGAGAGAGGAGGAGGAAGCAGGCTCCCTGCAGAGTAGAAAGCCCGATGTGGGGCTCGATCCCAGGACCCTGGGATCATGACCTGAGCCGAAGGCAGAGGCTTAACCCACTGAGCCACCCAGGCGCCCCCCACAATAAGAATTTCTTAAGAGAGTTTCCTTCACTTTATCATCAACCTCATTTATCACCCCTCTCTCTTTAATCACATAGGGAAATATTTTATTGGTCTAGGACATACAGTGCCATAATAACAACACTTTTATATCAGGAAAGCTCGTACTCCATTTGCTCTGTTCTTTCTCTCCTGTGAAAAGAGAATAATCTATTCAGCATGCCTCAAATTATTAAATAATTAAAGTCATTAGAAAATTACTTCTTCTAAGAGTTAAATGTAGTGTCTAAAGTAAGTTATACCTTTTAGAACTTAGAAGTCCTCTGTTCAATAGGATAGAGGATAAGGTATAGATTAGGATATAAATCTTCATTATCACACAAATAATAATACACATATATGCACACACAGTATTTTTTTCATGGTAAATGATGTGAAAATTAAATATTCCAAGAAGAAAATGTATTTCCTTGACTGAGATAGGATACTAAATAGGTCAAGGAAATAGAAACAAAAATCCTCTGAGGGAAAAGACAGAAACCTAAACATGGTAAAATCATACAATGCAATTATAAGGATGATTTATCTTTCAATATTTTTTCATATGATTTTTCAATGAACTTTTCTTGGTGAGAAATAGAATTCAAAATACCTCATAATCCAGGTTCATACAAACTTTGGGGTGAAAGATGGGTTTTACAAAAGGATTTCAACTTCTACAGATTATTGGGTTTTGGCTATGAATACAGAAGAGTATTGTCTACTTTATTTCCTACTTAGCCGGGAAGAAGATGGAAAGAAAGAGTAAGAGTAAAGAGATACACATAATGGAATACCCAAAAAAACAGAACTCCAAATTAACAAAATGACATTTTTTTAAAGATTTTATTTATTTATTTGACAGAGAGAGAAAGATTACAGGCAGGCAGAAAGGCAGGCGGCGGCAGGGGTGTGCGGGCGGGGAGAAGCAGGCTCCCCGCTGAGCAGAGAGCCCAATGCAGGGGCTCAATCCCAAGACCCTGAGACCATGACCTGAGCTGAAGGCAGAGGCTTAACCTACTGAGCCACGCAAGCGCCCCAGAAATGACATTTTTTTAATAAGAAAAAAATGCAATTAATATTTCCTACCCAAAACAACAAACACTAAACTACTAAACTCTAATTAAGAGATTATTTTAAATTAGAAAATTTATGGTAATTTACTGAATCTTAAGAATGGAAAAAAAAATTACATGCCATACCAATTTTACAGACTGAGAGAGTAGAAGAAAATATGTTCTATACGAGTCCCAGATTAGTCATCCTCCATCCAGATGATGACAGTAGTGCAATCTGTTATAATGAAAGACTTACACTAAGTTTCATGGCCTTAAAATATGAATGTCTGAAATTGTGTATTATGAATAACTACTAGTTATTTGTCATAGATATTGAATCGCTTAAGTGTCTAACCCTCTAACCTCCAGACATTAAATGTCATATTAATTTCTTTAGGGAGTTGGTCAGCTGTTTTGCATCATGTAGAAGCAATCAAAATCGAGCCATCATTTACCTTAGTTTATTCTTCCTGCTTTCCAGGATTAATACTCAATTGCAAGCAAAAGCTGTATGACAACACTACCTATGTTATGTACAGTTTGTGATAACCAAAGCACATAATGACTATCATAAATCTTAAGAAATATCAGAATTCTTACGCCCATACCACTTGATCTCACTTTGAGAAGACCGAGTATTGGGAGAAATGAACGCCTTAAAATTTGGCAACCTTCATCAGCACAGTTTACACTAGATACCTATGAATGGACTATGACAGTGATTTCAACTAGGACAGATTCACCTAAGCCACTACCCATCAATGACAGTTGGTTCTGTTTGTGATATTTTATAGGAATACAAAAAAGTATAAGAAAATTCATTTTGTCAAATTTAAATGCCTAGAAAAGGGCAGAACAAACAAACAAAAAGAGATTTTCAGAAACAGAGAACATATTTTAAATTGGGTTGATAAAATAGATATTCACATAGGGTATTACTGCATTGCATTACTTGAAAACATGGTGTTAGCCTTATTATAATTCTGTTCTAACACCACACTTAGGATGGTGGACACAGAACAGTCATGTTATACCACAAACAGAAAGCCAACAAACACGCTGGGTACTCTACTGACAGGCCTTTATAGAGCTGATAAAGGTGATGAAAATGAAAGTATACTAGAGGGAAGGAGGAAAGGACCAAATATTAAAAATGGAATCCAGGAAGTTATATTCTATCAAGGATTATGATTAAAATCAAATTCACAGGGGTACCTGAGTGGCTCAGTCAGTAAGTGTCTGAGCTGATTTCAGGTCATTAACTCAGGTTTGTGAGACCAAGACCTGCATTGGGCTCCACACTCAGTGAGGAATCTGCTGGAGATGCTGTCTCTCCTTCTACCCTTCCCCCTGCTGGCACATGCGTACTCACATGCTCTCGCTCATAAATTAAATAAATGAATGAATAAATAAATAAATAAATAAAATCTTTAAAGTGGTGTTTCTTAACAAATCCTGATTTAATCTAATGGGTCACTGGACCCTAATCACTATTTTTTAATAATTATTTTAACCAGTTCACTCTTCTCAAATGCTTATTAATGATGTTATCATATCCCGAGTAACTTCAAAGGGAAATATCAAGAGTCCTAAATACAAGCGCTTTACCAAATAAAACTGAATTTTACATAATTTATATATATATATTTTTTTAATATATATTTGACAGACAGAGATCACAAGTAGGCAGAGAGGCAGGCAAAGAGAGAGAGAGAGGAGGAAGCAGGCTCCCTGCAGAGCAGAGAGCCCGATGTGGGGCTCAATCCCAGGACCCTGGGATCATGACCTGAGCCGAAGACAGAGGCTTTAACCCACTGAGCCACCCAGGCACCCCCATAATTTATATTTTTGATAAATAATTTTAACCAATAGTGGAGAGAAACTTCTAAAATTTAGCAGGTTTTCATCTAACAGCTAGTTTATCAGCAAAACTCATGACTAACAGCTAGTTTATCAGCAAAACTCATGACTTTCCTCTAACAATCCATATTCTATTACCTAGGAACTTAAAAGTCTATTCTGTGGAAGACTAGAATAATCCTGCAGAGCCCTTATCACAATTTGAAATTCCACATTAAACTGTGAGTTTATTTAATGTGTTTCTCCCACCAGCCTATATACGCTGTGAGGTCAAGAAGCACGTCTACTTTATTCACTTCTGTGTGTCTCGTATAAAACAGCCCATCAAAAATGGGTTTAATGTTGCATAAATGACACACGGTACAACCCTTACTATTCTTCCTTCTCCACCCCCAATCCCCATATAACTTTGGGGTTTAGTCTGACAACTAGAAAGCAAGTAACTTATGTGTCTTCCCCACTTCTCTGTTCCCACTGTCTCTGGCTTACTGTACTCTGGTGGTAATAAACGCTTTCTATTAATGTTCTTATCACATTGCATTGTAAGTGACTGCCCCCAAAGGAAATGAACTAGTTATCTGTGTGCCCATTTATCTCTGACAATGCCAGGTGATTCCCTTGTTTCATTTTTTGACCACCATCAAGAAATAGCTTATGAAAATGATACATTCATTGGCTCAGAACATAAGGAAGTACTGGATGGCATACAAGAAAAATTTTATGAAATCAAGTAAAGCCAATAAAGTATAACAAAATAAATCATCTCCTTCTAAGTCACACATTGATAGGATTAAAAATTGTAAAGTATCTTCCAAAAGGAGGATCCTACACAATTAATAAAACAAATCACCAGAAGTCCTACTCTTTTTTTTCTATGTAAAATTATTCCTTCACAGTCTTTTCAGTAAAAAGCCAGAAAGAAATACATACATGATGGTGTTAATGCCTGAGAGCTGTTGGAACATTTGTAGACCACAACCCACAATTAAAGCTCGGCGAGTTGGGGGATAACTCAGCATTCTGCAGATCACAGGTCCAGCTTTTTTAAAAAAGAAAGAAAAAGAAGGACACATCTATTATTTTCAGCTCCCGCAGTAATTATTCCCATTAGGATCAATTTCCCCAAATCTCTGTGAAATCAACATGACTGGGCATTGTAAAATGGAACATATAAACGTTGACAGAAATCTGGGCACAATTTATTTTCTAAAACAGATTACTATATATTTGAGTTCAAACTGTAAAAGCAACAAGAAGCAATTCAAGTTAAAACAATTTACGGATACTAGCAAGACCTACATAATTGGAACCGTCAGAAATTATTCTTCCTTAAATCCCTACAAACTGCAATAACTACTCTTCTTTTTCCACTTCCTTGGAAATTAATTATTATTTAAAATCCATTCAATGTGAGACTACTTACAAAGTCACCAGCAAATTGCTTTAATCAACCCAAAGAATGGCATTCATTAAAACAATTAAACAAGGAAAAGAATTCATTCCAATTTATTTGACTTACGTAACAAAATTCACTCTAATCTATTCAATTAAAGTTAAGGAATTTGGGCATGATATAGGGCTTGGTTGTGGTTTATATTATTAATAAATGTTATCCAAAAAAGAAAATAAAAGAAAAAAAAATGTTTTATAGGGGGGTGCATCCACATACATATACACAGACACAGATACACACTACACATACACGTTATTTTCTAGATTTCAAACAGTTCCCTAAGTGGCATTCGATGATCATTTTAAAATATAAATGGACTTTCAAAATGGCACAGATGCCTTGGTCTCTATATCAGAACTCTAGATCAAGTCTGGAAAGCCGTAGATATGAAACACTGAGGCCTTAAGTAAAGTACCTCTTAGGTTCCCAGAAGTGCTTCAATTATACCTTCACTTTAGCTTTAAGAGGCATTCTACGCAGCGTCCTTGATGGGGCCAGAGCTGACTCCCCTGGACTTACAGCATTCCTGCTGTTAGAAGAGATGGCCTGGGATCACTGGGATGTTAACTGATTAATTAGAGGCATTCTTCCTGGAGGCTAAGTTTCATCAGTGAACCCTAAACCAAGTCAAGTTTAAAATCCAAGGACGTTTCACCATTTCAGGAACCTTTTGGAAATCTAATATTCTAGTTCACAAAATGGAATAAAATATGCTGTTGTCTCAGCAATAAAAGTTAATATGGGATGTCCAGCCAGGGTATTAGAACTGAACATTACAGGAATGAGAATATTCACCTCTACATGGGTGTCGTTAAAATCATATGAAGTCTTGATTTACTGCAAACGACTGTGTCCCACAATGGTAAGACAAGGACACGGATAGAGAAGCATTTATGGTCATTTAAAGCTTAATGCAGTGACAACTATTTAGAAAGCAGGGAGAGAGTACTGTAAATGTCAACTGTTTTAGATTCAAGTAAAGCAGTATTAAAACCCAGTACATCAGAAAGGCTGTCTGAAACAGGCAGATTTTGAAAGCTTTACTGTGACAATACTGAAATATATCTGGATCAGTTGTCTCAAAGGTGAGCAGGTTTGCCTGCAAATTCAGCTATCTGTGAGTGAGCCACAACATAAAAAACATACACAGCATCATAAAAAGATCTACCGATTTCCAAAAATCAAAAAATCTAAATGAAGATTATCATTTACTTTGTGTACCATGGAAATTTTAAAACAACAGTGATAACAAAACAAAAAATAAAAATCTTCTTCGGCTTTCAGTAACCTCCACAGATAAGAAATTGGCCTTCTCCGAAGCATCTATTATAGTCTGTGGGAAACTGCATCTATTTTCACTATTAAACTGTTCCAAGACTTGATGGACAGACTACCTAATAATGATTTTGGAGGGCAGAAAAGTAAAGAGAAAATGAAGACAAATTAAAGTTTGACTTGCCAAAATACCAAGAGATATACTATTATATAAACATCAAATATATATTGCCAATTTTTAAAATTCAGGGTTTTTAACTTTCTTTTGGTTTTGATCTCCTATTAAAAATAAACAATAGCAGTTCTGTTATTGGACTGGCTTTTTAAAAAAATATAGAGATAAATTTTGGTCACAGTAGCTGCATATTTGATTATGCATAAATAAAATGAAAGAATTTTCTTTCATTAAAATCATAAACTTAGCTTTATTAGGCAGTAAAACTGACTTAACAAATGCAAACTATCATTAATTTTTATATCACAGAAGCTATGAGGCAGAAGAAAAATATCAGATATATTAATAGGTTGAATGCTCGTAAGTGAAAATTTAAAAGTCATGCTCTACTTACTATATTTATTTTGATTTTTGTAATTAAAAACATTTAGTGTATATAAACACTGGACACAATTTTTTAAAAAATATTTATGTCTTTGAGACACAAATTCCCACAAAATAAAATATAAAACCTTTATACAACTAAAGTAGATAAGAAACACAGGGCTCAAAATAAAACAATGATGCAAGAACCAAAAACGAGTTCATCTTTTCCTTCATTCTAAACACCTCATACTACATAACTTTCAAAATGGTTGTCCAAGTGTGGCAGATACTTTAGTGGTAAGGATGCAAAGGACAGTCGTACAAGTTCAGCCATTCCTGTTAATAGGTGTCTGTGAGCTAAGCCTAGAGACGCTTCTCCAGGTACAATTAAAAATGTGCTAGAACACACTTTATATAAAATCCCAGCTCTTGATTTCCACTTCCAGCCAAGATCGAGTAATAGTTACCAGATTCATCTCCAACATGAAACCAACTATAAAGCCATGAAAAATGTAGGTGACAACAGTTCTCATGACAATGGATAACAGGCAACGAAGGATAGAGAATCCAGAGATTCAGGAAACAAAAGAGGTGAACCCTACAACAACTGTCCAAGTTTAATGCCTCAAAAAAAAAAGTTTCCAGGCTGCAATACAGGGAGGGGAAGCTAGGCAGACTCTGGCGCTTCCTTGAATCGAAAAGATGCAGCTTAGGATTCAGGGATACTAAGTTGGCTAGAGTTGGGGAAGAGTGCCAGGGTGGAGAGAGAGAGGACAGAGAGATCTGCAGTCCCTCTTGGGTATTCCACTGAGTGGAATGTGTGAGGAAACTAGTCAAGGCAGGAGAAAGAGCCACAGAAAGAGATTAAAGCAATCAATTTCAGGACCTGTTTGTACCAACCAGAGGGAAAAACCTGGAGCATAAGGAGTAGTAATCAAAAGGGTTTTACCTCAGCAACGGTATAAATTTAGTCCTAGATTCAACTCTACCTAGGTACATCTAAAACAGCTTAAAAATCAAGACCTCCACTGCTTCCAGGTAACTGAATAGCATCCCAGAACAAAATTCAGCAGTAAGATAAAATTTATAATGTCTAGCACACAATAAAAAATTATCAGGAATGCAAAAAGGCAGGAAAGTACAACTCGTCACAGTAAAGGGATTAATTCATCCAGAGGACATAGCAATCCTAAATATCTACGCACCTAATAAGAACTTCAAAATACATGAAACAAAAATCGTTACTACTGCAAGGGGAAATAGAAAAACCCATAATTATACTTAAATATTTCAATAGCTCCTTCTCCATAACTCATAGTATATGTAGGCTGACAATCAGCAAAGACAGAGAAGACTTCCAACAACACAATCAACAGACTTGACTTGACATTTAAATATCACTCTACTGACCAAGAACAGAGTACAGAATTCTTTCTAACAGTAAATGAATGGTAAATGTCTTGGAATATTTACCAAGACAGATTATATTCTCAGCTCTAAAACCAGTCTCAATTAATTTAAAAGGATTTAAGTCATACAAAGAATGTTCTCCAACCATTATGAAATTAATACAGAAATCAACACCTGGAAGATAACTGGAAAATTCCCTCCCAAGGAAACTAAATACCATACTTCCATGGGTCAAAGAAATAATGGGAAACTAGAAAGTATTTGAACTGATAAACATGAAAACACAGCATACAAAAATTTGTGGAATGGAGCTAAAGCAAAACAGAGGACAATTTATAGCAATGACCTTGGATTCCACTTTACAAAACCAGAAAAAGTGGGACAAATGAAACCCAAAATAAACAACATAAAAGGAACAATAAAGAGCAGAACAGAAATCCATGACATAGATAAAAAAGACAGTTGGGGGGGGGGGAAATCAATGAAACCAAAAGCCAGTTTTTAGAAAATATCAGTAAACTTTGAGTCACACTGCAGTAGGCTGAGTAATGGCCCCTCAACAGATATGCACATGTACTAATCCTTGAAACTTGTTAATGTTACCTTACATCGCATAAAAGGACTTTGCAGATATAATTAAATTAAGTATTCTGACATGGAAAGATTATCCCAGATTATTTGGGTTTGGCCCTAAATGCAATCATATATATTCCTATGAGGAACGCAAAGGGAGATTCAGGATAGAACAGAAGGCAACGTGACCATGAACGGCAAAGACTGGACCAATGTAGCCATAAACCGAGAAATGCCAGTGCCCACAAGAAGCTGGGAAAAGCAAAAAACATACTCTCCCCTGAGAGCCTCTGGAGGGAGCATGACTCTGCCAATACCTTGACTTCAACCCAGTGAAAGGAATTTTCAAATGTGTGGCAACCAGACTCAGAATAAACAGTTTTTGAAGCTACCAAGTTTGTAGGATTTTTTACAGCAGCCATAGGAAACCAATACACAGATTGATCAGGAAAAAACAAAACAAAACAAACAAAAAAAGAAAGTTACGAATATCATGAATAAGAAAAATGAAACTGATATAGATTCTACAGATAATTTAAAAAATAATAAAGGAGTATTATAAACAACTTTATGGCATTAAATTCAACATCTTAGATAAAATAGGTAAATTCCCTGGGGTGCCTGGGTGGCTCAGCGGGTTAAGCCTCTGCCTTCGGCTCAGGTCATGATCCCAGGGTCCTGGGATCGAGCCCCGCATCGGGCTCTCTGCTCAGCAGGGAGCCTGCTTCCCCCTCTCTCTCTGCCTGCCTCTCTGCCTACTTGTGATCTCTCTCTGTCAAATAAATCT